ACTTCCCAATAAATTCTCCACGATCATCTTTAGCATGGAGATGGAGATTAAAAAGATTGTTAAGTGTACTTAAAAAAATGAAAAAAAAGACTTGTATATGTCGCATGCCAGTTTAGAATTTAGTTTAGATAGAAATTCTCTACCATAGCGTGAATATTGTGATAAAATAATTTACATGAATAAATGATTTTTTTGTTTTTGTGGATATGAGATAATTTGCTTGAATATGTAGTTTGAAAGGCTTCAATCTTCTTTATCTTATTAAAGAAAAGAAGATTTGCACGAGATGTTTATTCTGTAAAGGTCAGGACATTAGGGGTGGGTGTGGGTATGGGTGTGGGTGTGGGTGTGGGTGTGGGTGTTGATGTGGGTGTGGGTGGGTGTGAGTGTAAGCTGGAAGAGGAGATGTTCATATCAACACGCACACCCACCCTCATCATAGAATTTTCGACATTTTGTTGTCGACATTTTTACTTGTTGATAGTTTTTTTTCGACGCTTGACTACTAAATCCTTTTTACTTTCAATAACATAAATTCTATTTTCTTTTTCATTCATTTATGCACAAATAATTAGTAGTTTTTTTTCAATATAGCTTATTTCTTTGACATGGACACTTGATTTGTTCCTTGTCGAGATGATCATCCATTTTCTAAAATACAATAATTAAGCTGATCAGACTATTTGACAATAAAAAGAGTATGGTTGAAAAAAATTGATTTGTATGAACATATTATTGAGTTATTCATTTCCGATATTCGCCTGTGAACGATTAATCATACGTTATCATCCGAACACATGTGGCTAGGAGCAACAAATGATTAATATTCTTCACCATTGTATTTATATCCACCCTTATTCAATGATAATATTCACTCAGTTGTACAAATATTGATTTGTCTTTCATCAACTATAGCTCTTTTTCGTCAACCGCCATATAATATAACTTCGAAATATTACTGCAATTCATATATTATTGGGTGAAGGATATAGTTTATTAAGAAATGTGAATGATTAAATAGTTGGATTATATATAAAAAAAATTATGATTCAGTTCACAAAAGAAAATGTCATTCTGTCTATATCGATTAACAAAGCTCAGCATTATTTTGATAAACAGTAATGGCGCTCTTTCCACCAATAACTAATACTTTTCCGTTTGCTAATGTGGATGCTGCGTGATAATATCGTGCGATACTCATATTTGCCGCAGTTGTCCAAGTGCCTGTTGATGGGTTGTATAATTCAACAGTATTGACATAACCAGCACTACTATATCCGCCAGCAACTAATACTGATCCATTTGCTAATGTGGATGCTGTGTGAGAATATCGTGCAGCATTCATGCTTCCTGTAGTTGTCCAAGTGCCTGTTAATGGGTTGTACAATTCAGTACTATTGAGAGCACCACCACTGCCTTGTCCACCAGCAACTAATACTGATCCATTTGCTAATATGGATGCTGTGTGAACATATCGTGCAGTATTCAGGTTTCCTGTGATTGTCCAAGTGCTTGTTAATGGATTGCACAATTCAGCACTATTAAGATAATTACTACCGTTGTTCGTTCCACCAGCAACTAAGACATATCCATTTGCTAATGTGGTTGCTGTGAGTAATTCTCGTCCGACACTCATGTTTCCTGTGATTGTCCATTCTAAATAATGCAGAAAAGTAAGAAAAAACGTTATTCTTAAAACGACTTCGAATCTCTCATCTGCATAAATCGTCTATCTATATATCACAGATTAAATGGGCTCAAACCTTCAATAAACTTTTCTTTGTTTTTATGGTCAAGGTAAGGTTTATTATGAAATGTTAAGTTAAATTAATGAAAAATAGGTTATGAACGAATTGGTTGATATTTTTCGAGTTCTACCGATGTTGCAAACTATGATCATGATGAAAGGCGTCTTTCTCGAGTTTGAAGTTTATATTTTATACTTCTACGATGTTTTTTTGAATTACTCAACCCCTAACAATTGCGACCTAAAGTATGAGATTAGATGTTGATAGACATGCCTCATGCCGATATTATGTCAACTAGTACTTGAACGCGTAGAATGAGCCATATTCACACTTTACTTTTTGGCCACAATTTAGCTGGCGTCGTGGCCAAGAAAAATTAATGCATGTTGTTTTTCAACTTCAGATATATAGACTAGCGGGGCAAATGTATAGACTTTTTTTCATTTTTCACTTGCAAGATCGATATCTTCGTTGATATTAATGATAGAAAAAAAATTTCTTCACAAGAAATATAGCTCGAACATTTTTCTTTAGTTTACTGTTTTCCAATTTCTGATATCTTGCAGAACACCGAATCTACACCTGTTTTTGTGAGACCTACTAAGCGATTATACATTTACCCCCATTTGGGGCTATTGTATACTTCTTCGTCGTCTATCGGGGCGAATGTATAATGTCTACTAATTTCAATATGAACAGTAAAATCAAAGTTTAACATCGATGCTTGTGTTTACTAAAAATTTTTTTACACCAGATTGTAGCTCAATCATTTCTCTACAAGTGTATACTAATCTTACTCAATAGCTAATAAGTCAGCTCGATCATGAAGCTTTTTCCTGAGAGCACTATTGAAAAAAAATAAAAAAATTAGTCACACTTGGGGTAAATGTATAATGCTATTGATATAGCGGGGGTAAATGTATAAACTCATTATTTTTAGCTGGAACTAATATTTTAAATTTTATACCTTGTTGTCAATGTTTTTTTTGAATTGAGTGCAACAGAAAATATCTTCAGCTCGTCAAGCTCTACAAGTGTATATCACTTTCTTCCTGTTCTTTGAGAATATCTGAGTCTTGGAATATTTTAACTATATCAATATCATGTATTACTAGAGTAAATATAGAGAAACAAACAGATTCTAATGAATAAATAGATAGAAAAAACTAGGTTCGAACCAATAAATAAATAGAAATCAATAGGATCTGATAAACGAATACCAGTCGTAACTTAGAACCATTGGGTTGCGATTAAAGCAGAGTTAAGCGAGCACTGTTCACAGTTGAAATTATCATTCGAGTTGTAATAAACTGAGAACAGGTAACGCAGCAGACTTTGACACATCCGGTACATCTGGCGTATGAATTAAAATCAAAAATAGATCGATCACAGCGTTAATAGAGCATTGCTTGTGAAGGGTACTAGTAGAAATTGTTAGGGATTTGATTGATGTAAACGTGTGGATCTACTTGAGTTTGATACATAAATTATTGTGGTGGCGCATAACTTGTCGACGGAACCTGTGCATGTTAATACTATCGTCATTTCTTTTCTTGAGCCGGATTGTGATGAGATGACATGTTTGGTAGATCTTCTGACGACAACAAAACGTCTACCGGGATCGTTGAAGAAACCCGACTCATCTATATCAAAGATGGCATTCGGTCTGTCAAGAATTTTGTGTTTAGAGAGAACTCCGTGAAGCGTTTCAAACCAACGTTTTAAAATAAACAAAAATAAATACTTTTAATCGAGAAAATCTCATCCGAATAAAAGGTATTTATGTATAACCAATGAAGTGCAGGATACTGATCGTGTTTTTTCCAAGTTTTCGCATTTCGTCAACTTCAAATCGCGATGACGGTGCATGAAAGAGGTGAACCAGTCAGTAAGTTGTGCGGTTTGACTAATTTTTTTGCGTAATTCTAACATGTAGGCACGGGCAATATCAATAACATTTTTCCGAAGTAAAGGTTATTGCGATTTTTCGAAGATTTCAATGGTCTGAACAAGAAACAACTCTTCCTCAGGAGATAAAATGGTCTTCGCACCTCGAGGACCATTACATCGAGTCCTAGATAATCGAGCATAAAGCGTTGCTAACGAAATATTGTTCTTTTAGCAGCATCTGATGGTTTTAATTCCTTGCTATGAACAGCATCTAATGCTTTCTGCATATTAGCTTCCATATAATTAGCCACAGTCTTCCGCTTATAATTTCGAACCATAATTTTGTAGTGTTAAGAAAATGATAATTAATACGTACGATGAAAAGAATGAAGAGGAGACGTGAGATGTTGTTAAATCTTATTCCGATGGTATGTAGAGAAAACTTTATGTTTATTTAAAAAAAAACAGATGTATTTATACATCGGTAAGTCCTTAGACCTCGAACATAGTGCACTCATAGATCAGTGATTACAAATAAATAGATCTAAGTATAAACTCTAAGGTCGCACCTGGAATAGATATTACAATCTAATATATCCAGGACAGTATTATAATCTAATCTAGGAATCAGATCATAAGAGATGTATTGAGAAAAACAGCAGAACTGTCGCTGGCTGTGATGGAGTAAATATTTTATATCTTTTTTACCAATCAATCGGATAATGCTATTTCTTTCTCAAAAACCCTACAGAATTATTGTCAATCGTATTGACTCACTTTTCAAAGTAATAGAAGTTTGAAACTATTCTTAAAGAACAGGAAGAAAGTGATATACACTTGTAGAGCTTGACGAGCTGAAGATATTTTCTGTTGCACTCAATTCAAAAAAAACATTGACAACAAGGTATAAAATTTAAAATATTAGTTCCAGCTAAAAATAATGAGTTTATACATTTACCCCCGCTATATCAATAGCATTATACATTTACCCCAAGTGTGACTAATTTTTTTATTTTTTTTCAATAGTGCTCTCAGGAAAAAGCTTCATGATCGAGCTGACTTATTAGCTATTGAGTAAGATTAGTATACACTTGTAGAGAAATGATTGAGCTACAATCTGGTGTAAAAAAATTTTTAGTAAACACAAGCATCGATGTTAAACTTTGATTTTACTGTTCATATTGAAATTAGTAGACATTATACATTCGCCCCGATAGACGACGAAGAAGTATACAATAGCCCCAAATGGGGGTAAATGTATAATCGCTTAGTAGGTCTCACAAAAACAGGTGTAGATTCGGTGTTCTGCAAGATATCAGAAATTGGAAAACAGTAAACTAAAGAAAAATGTTCGAGCTATATTTCTTGTGAAGAAATTTTTTTTCTATCATTAATATCAACGAAGATATCGATCTTGCAAGTGAAAAATGAAAAAAAGTCTATACATTTGCCCCGCTAGTCTATATGTGCACTGCTTAATTATTATGTCGTTCATAAATTTTTCTGTTATCTTTTTGATCCTTTTGATCTCCTATTCTCACTTCTTATTCTTCTCTCTCTCTCCTTTTCTCTCTGCTCTTCTCTGTTTATTGATGATACTTTTCGATTGATTAAAAATGACAAATAAGTGATCGTAGCTTGCATCACGATCGAACAGAAATGAAAATTCTGAGATGCAATGTGAATTTATATTATACCAAAAATAATGATTTTTTTAGAGATAAACAGCTATTTTGTTGAATAATATAGTGCAAAAACTTTATTCAATAAAATTCTTGCTATCTTTAAATATCATTACTTTTCTATAATATAAAAACACTTCATTTAAAATGAAATTATACTCGGATATATCAAACTATTCATTTCTATTCGATATTGTTGTAAGGTACATTCGATTATCATTTTTAATCGATCGAATGGATCGTCATCGACAGAAAGAAGACGAAAGAGAGAGAAAAAGAAGAGCAAGAAGAGAGAAAAGAAGATCAAAGAAGAGCGTTGATAACGAAATGATTGTTGAAAAGTTGTTAATGAGAATGAATAATCGATATAAATGAACATATTTTGGCCACGATTTAGCTGGCATCGTGGCCAACAAGCAAAGTGTGAATATGGCTCATTGTTCGAATCATCTCGAGAGCGGGTGAATGTAAGTGATTACTAAAATGATCAATGAGTTCTATCACATAAAAATCTTTTTATCAACAACCTTTTCGTCTGATACTATTAGACAGGACAAAAATATTCCGTCCCTAAATGAGTGTAGACCAAATCAAGTAATCAAAAATTGGCCCTACTTCGACTTCCGATAAGAAATGTTCTCTAATCTTGTCTATCTAGATGACGCTCATTCAATAGCTATAATCAAAACTTTTAGATATTGCCACTTCTACTAATCATCTTTTGAGTTACTATAAACGCTTTAATATAATACTCACGCGGTATTGTTGTTGTGGATGTTGATGAAGTTGTTGATGTAGTAGTTGTTGATG